AAAAAATACATTCCAAATAACACAAATTGAATATTTATCACATATTTAACATGTCGAAATATATATAAACTTAGCATACTATATTCTTGTACAAGATTCATTAAATAGAAATGAAAAGTGTTTCTTTTCAAACTCCTTTAAATTTCTAATCCCAATCCATTGTTCGAGATATATTCATTGCTTGCGCTTTGTTTTTTTTTTATAAGTGGTTAACCACGAAAATAATCTATGATACACACACACACACACACACACACACACACACACACTTGCACCACTTTTAGAACTGATAAATTATCTACGCGGTTATCATCTATTTTTATTTCATATTTATACATAAGAAATAAGAAGATATTCTCTCGGATCTCATATACAATTAAACATATTTTACTATAAAATCATTTAGTAAATGCACGCACATTATAATCTGTTCTTCAATTTTTTTCTTTTTGCAAACATCGCCCTATATATATATTTCATTTTAGACAAGATATAAGTAATAATAAACGATCTAAACAGAATTTAAAATAGAATTCTATTTCTAATTTCATATGCCATATAATACAGAAAATATAAATGTGAAAAAGATCCGAATACATATATAAAATATTACATGGAGAGAATTTTTTCTTAGAGTTTATCTGAAAATATGATAGTCGTGGAACAATGTATTTCCAAGAATTTTTTTTTTTTAATGTAGATCTCGCTCATTCATTAATAAAACTACAATAAAATATGAAATAAGTTTGATTAATTTTATTGAATGGTAAAAATCTTTAAAATATTGTATTGTATTGTATTGTATTGTCGCCATAACCATATTTTTGGGATACATTTTAAAACAAAATTCTCTCTGTGTATAAATAAAATATACTAAATAAAATATATAAAAATACACGTCAGAAACACATGATAAACAAAATTATAAATAGAATTCTGACGCTAGAATTATAAATCATCTAAAGTGGACTGAGGATGTAATACGTGACGTGAACAAAACTCTAAAATAACTCTATCACTCGCTGCGCTGTGTTCGGTGCACGATATGATGTTTTTATGTGACGACGCGACGTTTCTCTCTCTAGCAAGGGATCTCCGCGGGGTCTGAGACTTACCTTTAATCAGCCCGAAGAGCTCGACACAGCCGGCCGCAGCGGCGCCGTTACCGCAGGAGGGATGAAAGAAGGCAGTAGGGTGAGTTTTATTTGTCGAAGGCCACTCCTTTTCAATTGTTCGGTGCCCTTTGTAACCCTTGACAGCTGCTACCTACGGAGGTAAGTCACATTCGCGCTCACCGATCACTCGGAATCGGGAAGCGAGCTCGGTTTAGTCGCCGTCTATCCGGTGTGTCAGTCGTTATATTTATCATCACGACAATTCACCGGTGAGTCGAAGGCAATTTATTGTAGCCATTTATCGGAATGAGATAATATGTTTGATGACTTCGTGGATGTGGATATATGGATATAATGATTGTGTACTTAGTGATAGAATAAAACGTCCGATCGAACGATCCTGATGCAAACAAGACACGTGCCGTTCAAGGTAATTCATGTGTGGATATATCTCGAGCATAACGCCACGTGCTTCAAGAAGACGCAAAGGATACGCGGAACACGCGAATGTGACTTTTAACTTTTAATCAGATAATCCACGAGATTTTGAAATGTCCCAAACAATATAGTGTTACGATCAAAATTTAATAAATGTCCGAAATCGTGAATAAACTGAAAAATAAACTTTAAAATTTGATACATTTTTAAATTATTTAATAAACATTAGTTAGTAATTTATAATATATCATCTGTTAAACAGTTTTTTTGCATTAGTTTAAAATATCATTTTTATAAGAGACATTTCGACGGTTTAATAAATATACACACTGTTAGAAATTTACACACTGTTCTTGAATTTCATTAACATTTAATAACATTCACTATTAAAAATTTCATGAATTTTAATGTGCTTTTAAGTTACACAATTTGAATTTAATTTCATGACATTACATTAAATTTAATGTATTTATAACTGAAAGGTATAATTGTGTACATGAATTTAATGTATTTTTCATAAAATTTTGTGAAATTTAATGCACATTCATTACATTTGAATAACTACTGTAATTTAGTTTTCAGTTAAATCATTCGTTACTTTTAATTTCGTTTATAACCACGAGCTTCATTAATAATACACTGTTTTTTGCTTCATTTACATGTAAAGGAAGCATTTCTAATAATGTATTATTTAACGTCTATTTAATATTTTTATACAGTATAAAAAACATCTCTTTCTATGTAAGAATAATTTATATTCTAAACAGAAATTTATATTTATAAAACTAAATATTTTCATAAACATAAATTTCTGATTGAGATATCAACTGTTCTTATACAAGAATAGCCACATATTCGGTTATATTGTTCCAGAAAAAAGAAAATTACAGACATGAGTTAGAATAATTTAATATTAAAAATGTTGTATATCTTTTTATTTTTATAAATTATTTATATTTGTATGTAAAATTTATATATATATTTTTGTATCGAATTATGTTGACTTCCCTCTTGAAAAAAAATCACGAATGTGAAAATAAGATTTATAAGAAAAGAAAACAAAGCTTCTAGCTTATAACGCGAACATACTGAGTGTTCAAAATCGCATGAGCCTCGAAAGTAGATTCTACAAAGTTCTTTCTCTGATGCAGTGTGTTCGAAATTTTTACTTTCTACTGTCAACTAAATAAATTAATAGTTTCTATTTTTATGCAATTAATACTTGATTAAATAATATTACATATTAATTTTGTGCCATCGATCTTTATTTTCCTCTTCCGATAACTTTATATGCGGCTCTCTTTAAAGGAAAATAAAGCGAGGCGCGGCCTGAGTTAGACAAATAAACTTTTGATCATGTAAAGTAAACAACGAAACGGATGAAAATGGAGTGAAATAGAGTGCGACAAATGGAATGCTGGTTAGGATGATAATCGCACATATCGTCAGAACATAATATCCATCTAATTGCTATTTTTGGAACAACACGCCTCACTTAATGTATTCGGTGCATTAATATGTTTTATAATCCCAGAAATAGTATCAAACAAAGAAATTTACGATAACATTGATATGACTTAGCGGATATACAAGCTGAATAAATTGATTCTTAATTTGAAATCTGCACAATTTTTATAAATTTTAAAATTAATTTTCCAAATATGATAATATGAGATATATCATTTTCATTTCTACAACAAAATAATTTATATAAACAGAAGTTGTTTAAATAAAATTTAAATCGTTATTTAAATTAATTTTAAACTACTAATCAGAAACGTTTAAGATTACTTTTAGTGAAAAATTCTATCATTTAAATTTAAATTAATCTAAAATATATATGATTAGGCCTATATTGAGCATTTTTTCCACGATACTTTCTTTTAGCATTCTCTCTCTCTCTCTCTCTCTCTTTCATGTCTAAATATGTAAATAAAAAGTGAATTATTGTGGATTATCATCGCGATTATTGATGCATTAAATAAATCCCAGGATATTTTGCTGAGATTGGAGTGAAATTATAGGCACGAAGAGTAGAATAAAGCGGAAGGAAAGGATAAGAAGAAGAGGAAAAAGTAGAAGAAGAAGAAGAGGCGGAGTTAAATCGAGTGAGTTAGATAAGGAGACTTGTGGTGTACTCGTAAAGGGATACGCGTCAGTAGAGTTCGTCAGTCTGCGGTAGATGAACGTCTACCGAAATAACGGGAGCAATTTAAGCATCGCATTTACTGTGGCAACGTTTATAACATCTACGAATAAATATAGGATTAACACATAATTAAAAAAAAATAGCAACGTTACTTTTTTTGGAATTAATCAGTGATAAATCCGCAGTGATTGCGCTAAATTAAATCAAAGAAGCCATTCCTTTGTACAAACGAAAAAAATTACTAATGGAGAAAAAAAAATTATAATGAATACGTACATAATATAAACATCTGAAAGTGTATGTTTAATTACGAGAAAAACGAGTTTATTTAAGGAACAAGTTGAATTGCAGCGATCAAGAGTTAATTACAAGGAAAGAAGAAGATAATTGGGGCGAATTGTTGAGAGATAACGATTTAATTGGACGCCATAAAGTACTACAGTAATTTCTGGAATACCTTTCGCGAGTTAATTAACAATAACTACAATGTAGCGTCATGAAACGATTCGGTGTGAACTCCTGCTGTTTGAGGCCAAAGTTCGCGTTGTTGCTGCAGCCACTAAGCAGTATTCTGAGAAGGTCACAAAAATTTATCGGTATGACTAATGGTGTGTGTTCTTAACACACCAGACAGAGTGAACGAACATGAAGAAATATGGAAATTAATTGATACGGCATATGCGATAAAGCTCCTCGGAATATATATACATATATAGAGGGATGCATGTTCTATCTTTCCACGGCGAGAAAATTCAGGGAATTAACAGAACAGATAGAAAGTAATGAATGAAAGAAGGAGTAACGAGAAATGTAAACGAAGAGTGGATGAGGAAAGTTAATGTGTTTAATTGCGTGCGAGAATCGTTGGTCACGAGAAAGAGAATTAAAAAGCTTTTTGAAAGAAATCTTTGAGAGATTTTCGAAAATTAATTAAATAAGTTTATAAAATAACATTAATTAAAAAAATTCATGAGTTAAGAAATTCTCGAGATTTTTTACTTTTTTCTATTATCATAAGTTTCAATTTTCATAAACCGGGAATTGAAAAATTGGAAGATAAAAATTAACGACAGAATTCTTAGAATTAAGATAATTTGTTAAAATCAAAGCATATATAGAAAAATGTAAGGCAGTAAAATGTAAGATGTAAGAAGTAAGCGAATTGACCAATCAAAACAGCAGCAAATTTAAAATGTGATTGATTTGTTTACTATTTACATCTTATGATTTATGTTTTTTTTTTGTATGTTAATGGCCTTTAAAATAATTTTTTTATATGTCCTTTCTTATTTTTTGTAGCACATGAATCACAGCGATTTTTGATTATCCAAAGAATGCGAAGGAAGAAAAACTATTTTATACGCATTTGCTAAAAGATGGGGCACATTGCAGTAAACGACACTTTTGTCGAAATCTTTTCGGAGGCTGGAGGCTCGAAGCCATTTACACGCTCCGAGACTATTACTGCTGCAATATGCGCTATAATATTCAGCATTATTGGAGTATTAGGTAACGTTTTATACCTCTCAATCAGTTTTACCTAGTAGTGATTTTAAATCTTTAATAATGAGTTGAATCCTATATTTGAATTCCAGGTAATTTAATAACGGTAATCGCATTGTTAAAATATACCAGACTGAGACGACACGCCACCACGGCATTTGTGATAAGTCTAAGTATCTCCGATTTGATCTTCTCGGCGGTAAACTTGCCTCTAACCGCCAGTAGATATTTGAACGAAGCATGGGTTCTGGGTGAAACTCTATGCAAAATATTCCCCTTATTCTTCTACGGAAACGTCGCTGTATCTTTACTCAGTATGGTGGCCATTACTATCAACAGGTAAAATTTCAACAATGATTCTTTTCCTTTGAATTTTGATTAAAAAAGATATATATATATCTTAAAAATGCGCATTAATATATGTCTAAGAAAAATATTTTACAAAAATATTTTCTAAATATCTTGCAGTGAAATCTCACTCCAAGAGAGTAAAAATCCAACCATCCTTGAAAAAAAAGTAAAAATATTTCATTTCTTGAAAAAAAGTGATGATCTTTACTCTTTTTAAAATAAAATCTCACTTTATTGGAGTGAGATTTCATTTCTTTGAAGTGAAATTCATTCTAAAAATTGTCATTTTTTCAAGAAGTGCAGTATTTTGACTTTTTTTCAAGGATGATTGTATTTTCACTTTTTTGGAGAGATTTTTGGTAAGATTTCACTGTAAGAAATTTAAAGTGTAATTTTAATATATCTTAAGGATATAACATAAATATATCTATATTTTTTTAAATACATGCTAGTCAAAATTTTGTTTTCTTTTTCAGATATATACTGATCTCACAGTCGGATATTTACAACCAGTTATACACTACTCGCGGCATAATGCTGATGTTAATAAGTATATGGACTCTAAGTTTCTTGATGCTGCTGCCACCCTTATTAGGCATCTGGGGTACTCTAGGACTAGATCCGGCTACCTTCTCATGCACCATACTGAAGAAAAACGGTTCCAGTCCGAAGAAGTTTTTGTTCATTCTTGGCTTCATCGTACCATGCGTAGTGATTAGTGTTTCGTATCTCTGCATATATTGGCGTGTACGCAGAAGCCGAAAGAATCTCGAGGCTCACGCAGCAGAAAGCGGTCGACGAGGCGGTGGCTTTCAACGGCGGGAAGATTCCAGAGTGACCAGACTGATGCTTACTATATTCCTTTGTTTCCTGTTGTGTTTTATGCCGCTGATGTTGATGAACGTTATCGACGATAAGATGAAGTTTCCGATACTTCATATAGTGGCGTCTGTGCTCGCATGGGCATCCGCGGTGATAAATCCTTTTATTTATGCCGGCACCAACAAACTATACAGAGAGGCGTACAAACAAATTCTGTGTCCAGTTTCAAGCAGGACATCTACAATCGGTCCCAAACCAACGCATTCTCATTCGAGCAAGTTTTTGACACCCCATACGATATAAACATATCTTCCGTTCCGAAAATAATCGATCGCCTCGAATTAATGACGATAAAAAGTAGATGCATAATAATACGTACCATTTTTTTTATTTTTCGTAAGAAATTAAGCGCTTGAGTAAATAAATGATACTTTTTTTAGTTCAACTATAAGAATTTAACTGTTAAATTACGAATCTAAAAACAATAGATTTGTGTTTGATTAAAAATTTATTTTTATGATTCCGTAGATTAAGTTTATGTCAAAAGGTAGAAATTTTTTTGCTAACTAGACAATAAATGTTTTTACTTTTATTTGGAATAAGATATAGAAAAGCGTAAGAAGAAAAGTATATATAAAAATTGTATTTTTCTTAATATACAAACATTATATCATAATATTATAATGACATAATATTTTAATACAAATTCTGCTTAATACACAAAGTATACGTATATGCTTTTATAAAATGCAGAAAACGAAACATATACAACAGAAACGTACATCATATAATTGACAAATTAAAAAATCGATATTCAACTTAATACAAAAGTACAATTTGTATGGCATAATTTGTGTATATAAAAAATTCAAAATAAATAACTTTAAAAAAACATTTTAACTCTCTAAAAGAATATCTTTTTCTCATTTTACATTCGAATGTTGTTCTTCGTGGCAATTTTGTTGATTATTTAAGAACATGTACCCTACAGATATACGTATATATTAATTCGATATTAATACATTTGTACTTTTGAAGTGACAATATTATCGAATGAGTACGATAATATGGATTTAAATGCGTAAGTACTAAAACACATTAGTAACTGAAAGATATAATAAAAATATATATTTATAGATCTCGCAACAGGTAATAAAGTATTTTCTTTGCCTTGGTATTGCTGTAAATTAAAATCTCGTGTAAAAGAGACAGATTGACATTTACGAATGTAATTAATGTAATATATAAGTAGAAACGTTGAAAAATAAAATATTTTCTACCGTATATTCTATGCTCGGTGCATTATGTCTATGTAAATATTTATAATCTTATCCTAATTACTTACATACTAATCTCAGTTATTTTTCATCAAATATGGACGGAATTAGTACGAATGTTTTTGTAACATTTATATCACTTACATTATTATAATAATATTTTAAATTTAGGACGCCGGACAAAAAGAGAAAGAGAGGATGAGAGAGAGAGAGAGAGAGAGAGAAAGAGAGAGAGAGAGAGAGAGAAAATGCAGATAATAAACGTATGCCTACATTGGTAACGATAAAGTTTACGAGATTCTCGTGAACACAGTGAGATATTTACAACTTCGATACGTTACTAAATAAATGCAGGTATGTCTAAAAATAGTATATGAGAATGTTAATTCAACTCCAATTCCGGTAAGTAGGGCTCTGTGATTGCGGTAATAGGACAAACGCTCAACGTATCCTATATAAAAGAAAGAATATGTGTAAATATAATTTAAAGAATTAATAACATTATAGAGACGAATAATATTATTATTGTTATTATTAGAGAATTGATTTTTCGTTACTTACCAATCGTATAAGTTCATCGAACGTGGGCCGTTCTTCGGGATCGTCTCTCCAACAGGATGACATGACTTCGTAAATCGGGTCTGTGACATCCAATAATTGCGGTAACCGGATACCTCGCATAATCGCGTTCTCCACTTCGCTATCGAGTGCCAAATTTGAGTAAGGTGTACCACCCATGCTAAACATCTCCCAGAGAAGTACGCCGAACGCCCATATCATGCCCGGTTGATGCTTCGTCTGATTGTCGAAGCACTCGATGGCTGTCCACCTTGCATACTTTAAGTCTTGTAAGGCATACTTGGCGATACCATGACCCATAAGTTTCGGAGTCCAATCATCCGACAGTCCCACGCTTCGCGCGCAGAGGCGACTATGAATGATCTTATGGCTCGCCAGATATTGCAAGGCGATCGCTATCGAGGATGAGATAGACAATATTTGATCTATAGGGAACACATCCCCCGATCGCGCGCCTAACAAACGGTCTTTCAAGATCTGAGGCGGTAACTCCAACACGACGTATAACATGTCGGTGGTCTCGCAGGTTCCTACGAGACCCGCGAGATATTTCATGGAACCCGCTCGGATGCATACATCTAATTCTCTCAGCATATGCCTTTTATCAGATCCCTTCAGTGCGCCGTCGACTATGGTGTGGATCGTTACTAAACAGGATTTGTCATCCTTCAAAACGGTTCCGGTATGCACGCTGCCGAATCGTCCTCTGCGTATGACGTGATCATCAACGGACAAGGCATTTTGCGGTATGCTCCAGATTTTTTTCTTCAATTCTTGATAATGATTTACCCTTTCAGGGATATCCTCCGGAATGTAGCCCATATTGTCCACTTCATATACCGGACCCTGTAATGTGAGCTCCTGCTGCTCTGGCAACTTTTGCATGTGGAATCTTTCGTGTCGCCGTCGCAGTACAAAATATATCAATATCGAAATGGCAAGTAATATACTCAGCAGCGTGATCGCTATGCAAAGCGCAAGAGCAGTCGTGTCCATTTGATTCATTTGATGATTGAGCACGATATTGGCCAAATCGGAATAGGAACGTTGTACATACGCTGCTTTCCGCGAGATTATCATCAAGCCGACTTGCGCGGAAACGAACTGATCTTGCAACGGGAGATTATGATAACCACCGATCATTCTTCCATCACCCACAACGAACTTTTTGTATCTATGGAAGTCCAACGGTTCGAATTGTGCAGCAACGTAGTAACTTAATCCTTGTTTCGAAGCGGAATCGTAGTTCAAATACTCTTCATCGACCGGGGGAGGTATAGCGTCAGCTTGCACAACAAAAACCTGATATGCGCTAATCGGTCCATACTCGCTGTGAGCCTCGGTAAGCATGACGGTAATTGTATCTTTTCCGTGTTCTAATATTTTGGGCATGACTGGTTTGTCAGGTGGACCTATCAGAGTCCATCCCGTAGTATTCGCTGGTTCACTGAACTCCAGTGTATTACTGGCGGTGATAGATATGTGATACTTAGTGCCAGGCTGAAGACCTCTTAGAATCGTCATGTTCGATGAACCTCCTTGAATCTGACTTTCGATAGGTGATAAATTGTTGCTCGAGTATGTTTCTTCAACGACAGCGCGGATAGTATAAAATATTATTTTTCCGTTGGGTATATCTGGTGGCTGCCATGTTATTTTGAGAGTATCTTTTGTCTCCTCGGTTACCGATATTCTCCTCGGTGGACTTGGACCTACAAAAGATACATAACTCGCATAATTTTTATTTATGTAAATTGTAACGTATTCTAGTCAGGGTTGAGTAAGTTAACTTTTTTTTTAACTAAATTAAATTAAAGTTAACAGCTTTGAAAATACTTAACTTAATTATAATAGAAGTTAATCCATAATAAAATTAATTGAATTAAAAGTTAAGTTAATAAAAAAAGTAATTAAAAAGTTAAAAGTTAAATTTGGTTCGAACTAACAACCGAAAAAAAAAAGAAAAAGTTTGATTATTTTACATAATTTTTCATATTTTTCTTTCTACAACTTATTTATTTAATCTGGTTATTTTTGTTTAAGTAACGATTATAAAATAGTAACAATATAAAATTAAGTAACAAAATTACTAAATTATATACTCATTAGTTTCTCGCATTGTATCTAAGGATCTTCTTCAAAAAAATCAAAAAGTTAATAGTTAGTGATAAAATGTAACTAAATTAAGTTAAAAAGTTAAGAGTCTAAAATGTAACTAAGTTAAGTTAAAATTAATTAACTTTTATCTTTTTAACTTAACACTACCCAACTTTGATTCTAGTAGAGTAACACTTTTCACTGTATCAAATTCATATTAGGGATAGTTTAATATATTAGGCACACAATATGCTGCATAATAAAAGTTACATCCCATACATAAAAACTTTCAATGACATTACTGCAACATTTATAATGTTACACTGCAATATTGTTGGAACATTGCAATATTGATGCAATGTTGTTGGAATCATTTGTGATGTAATAAAACAATGGAATAAAACAAAAGATTGCTATAAATCATACCTTGTTGACCAGTCGCATAAACGCTCATAGCTTCGTAGCTGCCGCAATAGTAAGAAGAATCAGAGGCACAAGTGACAGTACAGCTATCCGATGGCTGGCCAAATTTGTTAACGCAATAGCACTGTTGTCCATTCATTAGTCCTGCAAACCTATTGAATAAAAGATTACAATCTTAAAATCCATTCAATTATATTTTAGATCGAAAACATTATTTATTTATTCTCTAAATTTTTTTGAGTGAAATCTTATTCTAAAAAGTGAAAATTGAATTAATCTTAAAAAAGAGTGACTTAATTTTCAATTTTTAAGGATGAGACTTCACTCTTCAGAATGAGATTCACTCTAAAAGTTTTAGAGAATACATATATCTCTCAGATCGGACACATTGTTTACTTACATATAATATTGAGAACGACATTTTTTAACGCATTCGGCGGGTGTACTGGCGTGCCCTAAAGTAGGAGTTGGTAATTCATTTAAGTCGGAACTCCGAAAACAGCCCTCATACTTTTGAGCGCACGCAAAGTAAACGCCGCAAAAGAATAAGAAAGATGAGGTGATTATCATTGTGATTTCGCGAACGATTTTTGTTGCGTTTTATGTTAATAACTGCGGGTGCGCTCAGTTTCGATCTAGCCGTTGCACGGCATAGCGTTATGAGTTATACGTTCGGAATTTGCAGTCCGAGCAGGTATGAGTCAACGCACGACGCAGGATGATCGCACCACGCGGTACAACAGAAAAAATTATGTCCGTCTCGTAGGATAAGAGTACTGATTTGCCAATAAGTCACAGCCGATTCCTCTTGAGTCGCCAAATTGGCTCATCTTCCCGCGTTTCCCGGCTTATAATTCATAATGAGGAGTACTCATTGACGAGTAAACTGAAGTAAACAACACCTGGAGCCCACGTACGCTCCCGTTGTTTTGGGTGCTGCACTCGCTGTACTCGTGCAAGACTTTAACTCAGGTTCGTACTAAATC